AGCAGAGGCGCTACCGTCTCCAGCCGCCCGCCCTCGTTCGCTGCGTCGCTCGCTCCCTGGCCCGCCTGCCCTACCGCCCGTCCGGCCCTCTCTCGGCAGTCGCAGTCGCAGCCGCAGCCGCCGCAGCAGCTCCCGGTGTCCGCGCGCGGCCCGCAGGGCACAGCCGACTCCGAGGATGAAGTGCAAGCCGAACCAGACGCGCACCTACGACCCCGAGGGCTTCAAGCAGCGGGCGGCGTGCCTGTGCTTCCGCAGCGAGCGCGAGGACGAGGTGCTGCTGGTGAGCAGCAGCCGCTACCCCGACCGCTGGATCGTGCCCGGCGGCGGAATGGAGCCCGAGGAGGAGCCGGGCGGCGCGGCGGTGCGCGAGGTGTACGAGGAGGCGGGCGTCAAGGGGAAGCTGGGCCGGCTGCTGGGTGTCTTCGAGCAGAACCAGGACCGCAAGCACCGCACCTATGTGTACGTCCTCACCGTCACCGAGCTGCTGGAAGACTGGGAAGACTCGCTGAGCATCGGCCGGAAGCGCGAGTGGTTCAAGATCGAGGATGCCATCAAGATCCTGCAGTGCCACAAGCCCGTGCACGCCGCGTACCTGGAGAAGCTGAAGCTGGGCGGCTCCCCGACCAATGGAAACTCCGTGGCCCCGCCGTTGCCTCCGCCCGAGAGCCAGCCTCAGTAAGTCCCGCTCCCTCCCGCGCCGACGCTGCGGTCGCCGCCCCCCCTCCCACCACCGAAAACCGGTCCCTCCAGCCCGCAGCCCTCGGGAGCCCCTCAGCTGCCATGTGCGTGCGGTCGGTCGCGCGGGCAGGAGCGAGGCTTCTTTTGTTTCCTTGGCAGGCGGACCTCCGAATCACGCTGCGAGCTGTCTGGCTTGCCAGGCTGCTCGCAGACAGTTTGCACGTTTTGCAGACGCGATGGAAATCGCTTCTTGGTGACACTGCAGTGTTTCCCTGAGCCCCGCCGGCAAACCATTGCCTGGCAAGGTGCCTTCGCGGCCGGCCCTGCTTGTGGGGGGCGGGGGCGGGGCGGGCCCGCTGATGTTTTTGTTTGGGTTCCCCCCTTCATTTCCATATGTTTGTGCGTGAGTGTGCGTGCGCATTTCTGATGCCAGGCTACTGCTGGCTTCTTCCTTGCCTGGTGGAGGCCTTTAAATTCCAGCCGGCCTGGTCAGGGTGGGCATCTCCTGTTGTTTTCTCCTTCAGCAGCCTTCCTGCTTGTCAGCGATCCCTTCTGGGGTGGGAGTGGGTTGCAAGAATCCATTTTAAAATTATAAAAAATAAAAAAGGAAAAGGAAAATCGTAAATTTTACATCTTATGTTTTCTTCAGCCAATAGTAATTTTAGCTTCAGAGATGGGTTTTGATATGCTCCTGTCAAGACAATTCTTTGTGTATTTCTATGTAGACATTGAGAGAGACAGAGACAGAGAAATTTTCACACTGGGCAATTCCTCACTACTGACTTGACACGGCCATTGCCTGTAGAGTTTACGAGGTTTTGCCCTAGAGAATAGGTATTTCTGGGTAATTGCTAGGGAAACATCTTCCCATGAAACCTGTGTTCTGGACTCTCAAGTGCCACGTTTGGGTGGCTAGAAGAACCTTGGTTCTCTCACGATGCATGTGTGATGGGAAGTGGTCTCTCATATTTGTCTTTAGTATAAACCTAGTTAAACTTTGCTAACTCAAGCAAGCAGAGGAGTGTGAGCTTTGGTAGTGATTGCATCCTAGTTGAGTGAGTTAATGCTCCCCCCCTCAGCTGTCATGGGCATCCCAAGACCTTAGGACACCCCAGCAGTCTCACTAATGGGACCTGGAGCAAATGTCTTTGCAGCCCAAAGTTGGTTGTGCTCAATTTTGAGTACTCCCATTGACATTAATACTTGCTTGACAGCAAACACCCCATCTAAAAAACCTGTCTTTTGGAACTTCCTCTATTCATGGAGCTATGTTTGAAGTTAGGTGGAATGAACGCTTCCTTTGGAAAATAATTATTGGAGATGGAAAGATGTTTAAACACAATTATTGCTAAAGATTTACTGGGCATATAATCTTTAAAAATTATTTGCTGACAGTCATCATATACATGGAGGAATGCATAAAATCTTAAAATCTTAATTATAGAGTTTAATGAATTTGCACATAGTAAACACAGATAACCAGAATGCAGATCAAAAAGTAACATTGCCACTAGCCCAAAAGCTCCTGAATTACTCCTCCCAATCTCTACATTGCTCTGCTGTCACTAATACCAGGGAATAGTTCTGATTTTGAATGATACCTATATACCTTTTGCTAACAGTTTGTGGGTTTTTTTGCCTTTTATCATTCATAGTACTATAATATTTTTCTTCATTGAATTTGAGTTGTAATTTCACGAATTCATATTGTTATATGCTACTAAAATGTGTCACATTTTCTAAACAAATGTGGTTTCTCTTTTTAAAAATGTTTGTTTACATTTAAATAAACATAAAATATAAGTATCAGATTACCAAGCATTTTCTGCACTAATATTTCCAAAGGAAATGGTAAACTGGAATGTAAGTAGTTAAAAAATATGTCCATGTGATTTTTTTTGTTGCTTTGTATGTCCCTCCCCCATGGTATAACCCGTTTTCACTGTATTTGATGGTGGTATAATTTGGGGAGGGGAAGGGAAAAAACAAAATGTTTAAGTAGGGATACAGGTTGATCCATTGCAACAATGAGATGTACAAGACACTATGTCGAAAAACGAACTTTGTAATTTGGGGGAGGGGATGTAGTTGTGGAGGTGGGAGGGAAGGGATGGTAGGGGGAAAGCAAAGGAGGAGGCAATGATGCTTGATAAGAAGTGTACTCATTTCCTTGCTCATGTAACTGTAACCCCTTTCTATAGTTTTTTCACAATAAAAACGTATTAAAAATATGACAGAATAATACTTGTAGCTCATACCCGTTATCCTAGGTATTCAGGACAATGAGATCTGAGGAAGAACATACTTGATCAAATGCCAGTTGGAGCAGAAAAGTCCATGGGAGTTTTTTCAGCTTGTTAGAGGAAAAACATTGTATTTGATTATACTATAAAATACTATACTAATAAAATTCCCGCCCCCTCTCTTTCTCTCTTTGCAGTACTGGTGTTTGAACTCAGGGCCTAGGTGCTATCCCTTCACTTTTTCACCCAAGTCTAGTTCTTTACCATTTGAGCCATAGCTTCACTTCCAGCTTTCTTGCTTGTTAATTGGAGATAAGAGTCTCATGGAATTTTCTTCCCAGGCTGGCTTTGAACTGCAATCTTTAGATCTTAACTTCCTGAGTATTGCATGAGCCATTGACACCCAGCTTTAACAAAGTGTTGTTTAGGGTTTTTTTTGGCAGTATTGACGTTTGAATGCCAGTCATGAGAGGAAAAAGCCAAGCAAGTGTGCAAAACCCAACTGTGCATTAGTGGTTCAAGCCTGTAATCCTAGCTACTTGGGAGGCTGAAATCTAAGTATCGCAGTTCAAAGCCAGCCTGAGCAGTAAATTTTATGAGACTAATCTCCAGTTAACCAGCAGAAAACTAGAAGTAAAGCTGTGGCTTAAATGGTAGAGTGCCAGCCTTGAGTGAAAAAGCTAAGGGATAGCACTGAGTTCAATCACCAGTGCCCACACAAAACAAGTTTATCATATAGTGTAATTGGATTATTTTTTGTTTCTTCTGACAAACTGAAATACAATGAACAGATATATATGTACATAATACATATATATACTCACATAATAGATTTTTAGAATACATTTTCAGTATAATTTAAGTAGGATTTTTAGAATAGATTTTTTCTGTATGAATTAAGTAGGTTTTGTAAAACAGTATAAAAGTTTTGTCCAATAATTAAAAGCTCCTTTTAAGACTAACTCAATAATCAGTTTAGTCTTCCAAAATAGTGATGTACCACAGGGATTAATTTTTTCTTCCTGAAACTGTTGTAAGCCACTTACACATTTTATGATTGTATCAGAAATGCACAGTTAACTTTTATTGTCTTTCAATTAAAAAAGGAAAAAGTTTTCATCACAGATAATTGTGATTTTCAGTTATGAATCAAATTTAATTTCTTCACATTTTATACATATTCTGCACATTTTTAGCTGCTCAAGTGTTTTTTTTCTGGTTTTGTTTTGGTGATTCAGTTTGAAGTATGCACCATACCACTAAGCTCTCAGCCCCGTGGTTAAGTGTTTTATTCTTGCACATGTGTAAAGAGCAAACAAGGAAATGTAGATACCTAGATATACTGGAAATGTTTATGTGCATGCAGATATAAAATTTGTGCAAATATAAAATTTGTTACCCACACTTTAAAGAAAACAATTGTAAAGAGGTAAAATGGTTCAATTGCTTCTTACTTTCTTTCATATAGATCCATTTAAGGTAAGATAGATATGCTTTAAATAGTGAAGCACCTACCTGCCTAAGCAAGTGCGAGAGACTGAGTTCAAACTCCAGTACTGCCAAGAAAGGAAAGAAAAGATCCATATAAGACTGGCAATTTGTTTATACTTACTAATTATAATAAATGTAAGTATACAGATGGCTAGAGCTTTCACTTTCAGGCTTCCTTTGTGGAAGAAGCTGCCAGATACTACCAAAAAGAATTTCATAGGTATTTTTTTGTAGTTTTCTCTAGATAATTTACTGTACTATATTTAGCAGACTTGAAGCACTTTCGAGCAAAGAGCACTAGGAGAACTGGAAATCACTATGGAGATTACATTAAAATATGACATTTTTATGAGAGAACTTGATGTAATAGAAACGACATTGGAAGTCAGACAAACCTAGTTCCAGTTCTTATTCTGTAGCTTTAGCTAAGTTATTTAATTATCTCCTGCTTACGTTTTTTCAAAATCTGCCACCAGACATACTAAAAATAGATACTTCATAAACTTCTACAATGAGAAGCCTTTTCTGACTGAGGCTTAAATCCTATTCTATGTGAATGTTACTACAGTTGGATTTAATCTATTGGTATCACTGCATGGCCACCAGCCTGAATGACTCCCATTAGCCTAGAGTCAAGAACATAGAGTTTTATGTTTTATGTCTTAAATTTACATTCCCCTTTTGCAAAACTTCTGGTATCATGAGTTTCCTGAGACTTTTTGGGGCTGCGACTCTCTTTGAATTGCTGATCCAGACACCTATAGGATTTCCATTAGATGATTATGTGACAGTTTCCCAAGTACCAAGTGATTGATAAACCCTCAATAATTTTGTCAGTGGAAAAAATTGTTAATGTAAGGCTCCTAATTGTATGTTGCTGTCTCTTTCCAGATGAGCAGTAAAGATGTTCAGGAATCATTGATGTGAATCCACTGCACGATGGATTTGTCAACTTCTAACGTTCCCGAGGAGACAGCTCATCTGGTTTTCCTCTTACATCTTGGGACATTCCTTCCCCGTCTATTCCACTGACTCTTCTTGCTCTGGTTGTTGTACTGTTGTACGTGAACAGACTTTAACTCAGCACCTATAGCCTTTTGTTGTGCTTTTCTGATGTGTCTGCCTTTGCCATTAGACTGTATCTTTGAAAGCAAAGACTATTTTTCCTTACTCTTTGCATTTTCTGCATCTGAGACACTACTTGAAATATGGTTGGCATCACTGAAGGTCTTTGATTCAATTAATATTTTGTAATCCCTGTGTGGCAAAACATTCCCCTCCCAATCTGGTGCTAGTAGAGTATATGCTGTCTAAGCACCATACATGTGGCTTTTGTGATTCAGGTGTTTCAGAAACATTTCAAGAAAGTTTAAGATGTTCAAGGACATGAATTATTACTCAAATTTCTATGTCATACCGCACAGTGGCTTGCACAGTTTAAAGAGTATGCCATCACTTAAGGCAACATTTTGTAGAATCAGTCCTTCGTGTAACAACTTTAGTGTTTTTGTACTGTTGTTAATTTGCTTAAAAGTTTATTCAAAAATCACTTGCTATAAAGGTAATTGTAAGAATAAATACAATAAATGATATTGTGTTTTTCTAAAAATTTAAAATAATATGAAAATAATACATTTAATTTTGTTTGTGATGCTCTAATCACTACTTACATGCCATCTTAACATCTTAAGGAAGAAAACATTGCTATTCTCAATTTGCAGATTCAATATAATGTGATATCTAATGCCAGAGCCAAGAAAGACTGCTTAGATAGGCACTTTCAAAGTTAATTTTGTCATTTAGTTTGCCTAGGTTTCTTTTGCCTCTTACTGTTCCAGTTGGCCATAGTTTCTAAAACTTTTCTATATACTCAGCTTTTCCCCCCACTACTTTCAGTATATGAAAATTCAGGGGGCTCTGGTGGAACGCTACATTGTCACTTAGAAAAGACTATTGGGTAAGATACTGCTGTAAAGAGGTAACAGAAAATGAAGGATTTGAAGGGGGACTTGGGTCAGCTGCTTCTAGGAGAACAACTTTAAGAAAAGCGCAGACGTTCATTGAGTTTGGTCATCATGGGGTATGTGATGTCAGCACTCTTCTTCAGCTCCTTGAAAAGGCCCAAAAATAGCTCTTAAAATGGTAGTTTTTTCTTTTGCATTATAAAGCAATTACCTTGGGTAAAGCTTGAACTCCGTTGCAGTGTTACACCTTGCTTCATGGTACTAGTGAAGTGTATTGATTGTGTCTCAAAATCTTAACAGGATTTGAAATAAAAACACATCTTACAATTTGTTTTTAAGTGTGATATGGTCAGTACTTTGGTCATGTTTTTTTTAATTCTTTTAGAGAAATGTTCTGAAAAAAAGGACAGATACAGTATTGCTATTTGCTTCAGTATAATCTGAGGGTGGGGTAGGTGAGTGCATAGATGGAATAAGATTGGTTCTGATTTTATTATTATTGAAGTGGTGTGATGGATGTTTGAGAATTCATTATACTATCCTCTATACTTTTGTATATGTTTGAAAATTTGTGTAATAAAAGTTCAAAAAAGTATTCTTCAGAGTTTGCTTGTAGGCCCTTATAATTTAAGTATGGAAGGTTGGTCAGAACGCAAATTCATATTTCAGAAAGACACCCTCACTCTCACCAAAACTGTAACTTTTGTTCCCAAGTGAAACCCATTGGCAGACTTCTCTTCCCTTAGTTAATTTTTGGCTCGGAATACCTACTAGTATGCCAGACATGAGCATAGCAACAGACACATTTACAACATTCTTCATTCTACAATTTATTGCTTAAAATACATAATTTTTCTAATTACAAAATTTATCTTCAGAAAGTTAAAAAGCATATACAAATGAAGGTCAGGTACTAGTCAGTGGCTCATGCCTGTAACTCTAGCTACTCAGCAGGCTGAGGTATGGCAGGCAGTTCAAAGCCAGCCTGAGTAGCAATGTCCAGGCTAGACAAAAAAGCCTGTGAGACTTAATCTCCGGTTAGCCACCAAAAAGCCAGAAGTGGAGCTGTTGCTCAAGTGGCAGAATGCTAGATTTGAGTATGAAAACTCAGGGACAGTGCCCAGGCCCAGATTTCAAGCTCCAGGTCTGGCGCAAACACAAATACCAAGTTACATAAGGTCATTCTATCCAGAAATAACCAAGTTTTAAAAAAGCCATACAAACATTTCTCTCATTTTTCCTTTCCATATGTGTGTGTGTGTGTGTGTGTGTGTGTGTGTACATATATATATATATATATATATATATATATATATTTAGGTAGATACGGATATAAAGATGGCACATGATTTGTATCCACTATAATATTGGGAAAAAAAAACATGACCCTTACATTGTTAGACAAACATTGCAGAGCCACCTTGCTCTTCCTAAGAATTTTTTACATTGATGCTCATGGCCATTGTGGAATATGTGCTGTATGTGCAGAAAGTAAGACAAATCTTGAGTCTGAAATAGACCAAGCTATGCTATAATTACATATAATAGGCCTGTTTGGTTTTGGCTTATTTCCTACTTGTTTCACTGCCAAACAATGAAACTGGGGTGAGATATCAAATCTGTTGAGTGCTTTCTTAAGTTACACATCTGTAACACACTGGTAAAAAGTAGGCCGGCTATCACCTTACCTGTCTTACACAGTGTTAAGATTTCACTAGCTACTCAGCAAGCTATGGTATGACTGCCTCTGACCATCATGTACTTGCTCTTCCGCTGGACACAGTGGTAAACAAGGGCGCCACCACTCAGGGAAGAGAATCAGGATTTACCCTTCTATGATTTTTATTTTTTGCATACACTGGGGCTTGAACTTGGGGCCTGGGTACTGTTCCTGAGCTCTTTTGCTCAAGGCTAGTGTTCTAACCATTGAGCCATGGTTCCACTTCTGGCATTTTGTGGTTAATTGGAGATAAGGGTCTCACAGACTTTTAATACCTGGGCTGGCTTCTAACCGAGATTCTCAGATCTCAGCCTCCTAGAATTACAGGCATGAGCTGGTGGCGCCAGGCCCTTCTACATTTTTTGCCCATATTGTGCCCTTGCTTGTCCCTAATTTCCTACAGCAAGCACTGTAGGCTATGTGGTAGAAATGTTAATATACAGAATACAGTGTACAACTACACCATATATCCTAGAAGGGTTGGACCCTTACTAGTCTAAATGGCATGGGGAAATGCCCTGGCCTATCTCCCAATAGCAACTACTATCAAAAACTGAAATTCTGAACTTTGAAATCATAGCTGTGAATGACTTGTTCCCAGAATTCCAATCTCCTCTTAGCACTTGAGAGATCTCAAATTTGTATTCCAAGAATGAAGAGTTGGGGCCTGAATTCAGTGAAATTCAAAGATATACATAGATGGAAGGTATTCACATAATCAGCTTTTAGGAAAATGCAAATTAAAACCATGATTCAATGAAATGAAAGTTCTAGGCTGTGAAATGAAATCAAGCTTCATCTTACCTCGTGTCATGCTCTCTGGGTTGAAAATAAAAAAAATAATTAGGTGGATAACATGTAAATGTTAACTCAGTACTTCTTTTCTGGGATGGTAAACAAACAAAAAAGTCCACTGTGAAGAAGCAATGTGAAGAAGCTTGCTAGTTACGTTTGAGAATTTGGACTTCTTTGGGGCCAGTAAGAGAATAGAGGGCTCAGGGCAGGGTAGGTAATTCCCTTTTCCTTTTGTCTACTTCATCAAATTTAAGCCTCATTTCTCAGATGTTAAAGGAAGATTTAAGGTAGACTGCAAAATCATTCTTAGCAGGTAATTCCAGCAATGGCATCATGCTCCCTAGTGGTCATTATAGGATTTACCTTGCTCCTGAAGTATTTTCAAAATTGATTAATGTGGGTGCTGGTGGCTCACACCTGTAATCCTAGCTACTCAGGAGGTTGAGATCTGAGGATCATAGTTCAAAAGCCAGCCTAAGCAGAAAAATTCTGCGACTCTTATTTCCAAATTATTAACTAACAAACCAGAAGCAGATGTATAGCTCACGTGGTGGCGTATCAACCTTGAGAAGAAAAGCACCAGTACTCACATAAAAATAAATTGTGATTAAAATGTAATAATTAGACACATTAATGGAGTACAGTATATGTAGATGCATGCACAGTGTGTTCTGATCAAATAAATAATAACATTTCTCCATTCATATAAAATATTCATTCTCAATGTTAGATGTGAGGAGGTAGATTCCATTAGTCTCAGTTCAGCTGGGAAAATTGAGGCTAGCAAGGTTAAGGAAAATGATACAGATATGATAAAGTATAAACCCTAAAAGTAAATTCACACAAATTTACCTTTTTTTCTTTTTGAAGATAGCATCTCATTATATCCACCAGGCTAATCTTGAATACCTTGGCTGAAGTTATCCTTTGGCCTCAACTTTATTTTGCACAACATCTGATTGATTGGGATTAGAAGAATGCTCCAAAGTTCCAGTTCCAACTGTTTTTGGTTTTGTACCCACCCTCACACTAGCACAGGTGAGGATATAACCAGGAGGGCTTGTGTATGTTAGGCAATGTAGCCCTGAATTTTAAAATATTACCTTATCAGTTTTAGAAGTAGCAAACTCCAGGGGCTAGAAGTGTGCTCAGTAGTAGAGCACATTCTTAGCAGTGTGTGTGTGTATATATATATATATATTCCTAAGTTCAATGCCTAGCATCAATAATGGGGCATGGGTCAAATTCTATATCCATCATATGATGTTTAGCCAAACACAATGTACCTCATATCAAAATGACTTAGGGAAGTAAAAATAAGAACCAAACCATAGGAGTCTTGGATTAATCAGAGAAATTTGTGACAGACCCAGAGGGGAACAAAAATGAGTAAAGTTGCTGACAGTTTCACAATTAGGATTATGAGTTTCTTGGTATCTAAAGAGTTTTTGATTGTGTAATGTTTGAATGAACATATGAAAATCTTCAAGGCC